TCCAGAGCAAACAAGAATGAAGAAAATCAAAGACTCATGGAAACAATTAGTCCAAGTTACTGGTACACTATGCAATCCTCAGCCTATATGACTACGAGACTAGAAGAACTAGATGGTGCCTGGCTACCACTGTCAACCACTCGGAGGGGGATCTATGTAGGAGATCCTGGATAGAGTGGGAGAAAAACGTGGAACAAAATTTAAAATCATTTAAAAAGGTGGGGGGAGGAGACCATATTTTCTGGTCTGTTAAAGCCTGGTGGAACCCCTGAGACTATGGCCCTAGCTGCCCTTCAGGTCTGGAATTTAACCCACTCCTGTGGCTTCTGGCCAAACAAAAGAAAGGCATATGAGCTGAACATTTACATTAGGTACATGAACTCCTTGGAGAGATCAATCATGGGAAAATAGAAGGGCTGTGTATGCACAGGGAGACTGCTCGGGGAGGGGGCAGGAGTGCATGCGAGAGAAGGACACAAGGAAGAAGTAACTATGGAGAGGAAGTGGGAGGGGAGCTGTTACATTGTGGGAAATTGCAGTCAATTTCATGAGACAAAGTGTGTGTGAGCTGCTGTATGGAAAGTGAATTTGCTCTGTAAACTTTCACCCAAATCACAATAAAATTTTTTTTTAAAGGCAGGCAAAATTATTATCCCCATTTTATAGTTAGAGAGACTGACAAACACAGCTGGAAAGTGCAGAGCTGGGATTAAAAACCCAGGTAGTGACTCCAAAATTCACACTCTTAGTTCCTAACAACAACAACAACAGTGTGAGAGGGATGTCAAGCTGAGTATGAAACAAACAGACCTACCCCTCACCTGTTGTTACCCATTGTAAGGATAGTATCGAACAGAGCCAATCACTCACACAACATTACTGCTGATGATTTTTCAAAATTAACTTTAGGTTTATTAATTTAAAAATCTAGTAATACAGTGACTACATAAATAAGTACCATATGTAGATATATGTCCTGTGAGAGGAGTGAAAGGGTAATGGTATTATGTTATTCTTACTTGCTTACACGAGTTAACTTTATAATGGCTACAACTGTTAAATGGTGTTTATGATCTTTGTTGTTCCAAGGGCTTATGATACAAATAAATACACAAGAAGAACCACATCCATTCTTCTCTACTAACTACAGGCGGCTTGGCCTCTTTTCCCTCTGTCCTACTCCCTACACAACGCAAAACACTTGCGGGGGGGGGGGGCATTGTTCTACATGGACTTAACATAGCTTCCCAGCTCCTGCCTGAAGCATTACTTTGTAAAGGTGTGTCCCAGAACCTGGAGGCAGGAGTCTCTCTAGGGAAGCTGTCTGGGTGTTCCCTTAAGCTTGAGCTTTTAGAGAACACCTGGGTGGGAAGGCTTCAGGGTGAGTCATTGTGAAGGGGAATCACCTCTTTCCTTCCGGATCTGCTTGCTCGTCTCCGTACCATGGAAATGCTGCCCCCTCCGGGTGAGAAAGCAGCAGCTGCTTAATATACCCCCCTCAATAATGCTCTGTGGCCTTTCACCCCAGGATGGTCTGTCTACCTCTTTCTCCTGAGGAGAACGTGTGTGATGGACTAGGGAGAGGCTTGTCCCATGAAGCCCTGGCCACAGACTGCTTTTTGCCAAGTTGCCATAAAGACCGGACCTTTCATGATTTCCCCTGTTGGTGTAAAATACTCTTAAGAAAACATTCTAACCTATGGTCACAGAGAACGGGGAACGGGGTCCTTAATATTTCCGTTTAAGTACTCACTTAAGTACTCACTAGAGTTCATTCATGCCCCTCAGAGGAAACAAATCTAGAGGAAAGCCTTAAAATCCTTGCTGTGGAGAATTTGTAATTTTCTCACAGATGATTTCTAAAGCTGGACCTCAGAGTGGGTAATTTATTCTCTTATATCGGACTGCAAATAGACATTTTAGGAATCACCTTCTCTAAGATCCTTGATTCAAATCCATGCTTGGTTATTTAGGGGTGGACAATAGGAAGGTTTAGGATGAAGATTTTTATCAAAATTCTTAGCTTCTCAAATAAACAATAACTCTCCTGATATTCCAACACTATGAAGCCTATGAGATCCAAGCCACTTTACAAAGTGAAAATCAACAACCCCTGTACTTGTAGAAGGGAAATTACCCCTTTAAGGAACTTCAAGATTTTAATAATTCAACCTAAATTTTCTAGCCACAGAACTATGGCTTCAGGAAAAAAAAATAGTCACTATTGAGTTATTAATTGGTAAGTTAAAAAAAAAGTAATAGTCTTGTTGACTTTTATTTACTTCTTTCTTCAATAATTATTTAGTCTTATATGGATTCCATTTTTGAAAATCTTTACCCAAGTCTAACTTCTTTATGGAGTTCTCATAGGTTTAGGAAGAAAAGAGAAGTGGTATCATTATGAAAAATTATGTACTACTTTAACATCAAGATGGCTCTGAAATGGTGTCCTTCATCTTCACCCTGCCATCATGGTGGGTGATTTCATCAACCACAACAGAAACACAAAGCCAGAGCCTTCAGCTCACAATTCCCTGTTCATTTTCTTGGGTGGCAACAACTTCCATGCTACTTGGGAGCCAGGCAAGGGCAAGAATGGTAGAGTCTAGGCTGGCCTTGCCTTGGAATAGGGTAGTTTAATGTGAAGCTGAATTTGTGTGTGTGTGTGTGTGTGTGTGTGTGTTAGGATGGGTGGTTAATTTTTTAAAAAAAACATAAGACATTCTAACATTGACAAAGAATAATTTCATACAAATAATTGCTCTGTAATTCAGAGCTCCTACTAAGCAATTCCTTTCTCTATTTTTCATTTGAATAACTTTCTAGATTGAAACCCTGGGGTTCTGTTTGCTCTTTAACCTGTAAAGAAATGTGATTCTCCAAGAAACTAGACGGGTGCTGTGGTGTTCTAGCCCTCTACCTCCCACAAAGAATTCAAGACTCTTCTACTCTTTTTGGAGGAGATGTTTAAGGGTTGACACACCACTCCACATAAAGGAGCAAGTTATGATGTGCATGGTGTGAATAATTGACTGCATTTGAGTTTGGGATTTTAGGGCACTGTTGACTTAAGCAAAATAAGCCTGCAGTCCAGCTGCAGCTTGAGCTTGCTTGCTTTCCCCCATCCACTACTGTCTGTCTCATCTAACAGTGGCTCTTTTCAGACCTCTCCAGGTACAAAACTTTGACCAAATCTTCAAGCTCTGTTCTGCACACACGACTTGAACACATCTGGCTGATCTGAGCTTCACCTTCTGTGAATATCTTCCACTGGCCTGAAAGACAAACACAAAGTGGCCAGGAGAGTGTAAAAGGAGAGCAAAGAAAATCAAGAGTAAAACCAATATACCTCATCCTTACCCACTCACTCATGGACCCACCAGGGAATTTGGAACACAAATGTCAGATGGTTTCAGGGAAAAAAAAAAAAAAACATACACACACACACAACAACCACATTCTGTGGGGCAGATAAGGAAAGCAGGCCATGGAATTTTCATTTCAACACATAGCATTGGTAAGAATCCCAAGAATAATATGTAACTGCTTGCTCAAGAGTAAAATCTAAGTATTATGCCTGGAATCTTTACAGTATATTTAGCGTTTGCAAAATATCTGCACTACCAGTTTGTTAGCCATTTGGACAGCTCACTTGGCAACAGGTCTAACAAGGCACTTTGGAAAACAGTACCTGGTGCATTACTGGGACTTTACTAACCTTTACTATTGCTGTCGAGTCACTTCCAACACACAATAACCCAACAGGACAGAGTCGTACTGCCCACAGGGTTTTCAAGGCTGTAAATCTTTATGGAAGCAGACTGCCACATCTTTCTTCCACAGAACAGCTAAGCTAGTGGGTTTGAACCACTGACCTTTCAGCAGGCCAGTGCTTAACCACTGCGCTATCAGGGTTCCCTTTGTTATCTTTTAGGGTCTCCAAATATTGATTTAGATTACTTGATTATGGACTGCTCTTTTCTCTATTCCTACCACCTCTCATTAAAAACTGTTCACTTGTTATCTCCTATAGCCACATGCTGTTTTTCAGCACCCCTAAATTACCCCCCATAGCTCCATTTATTGTTCCTTCTCCTATCTCCCATGTGTTCCATTTCCATGCTGGATAAACCCAGCTGTATTCCTTCCACTCTCTGTTATTTCTGGTCATCTCCCATTTCCTGTTTTCGCCACTCCATTCACGGAACTGTCCAACAACCATAGTTCCCTTATCCACTTGTTTCCCCATTCTGTCACATTACTTGAGCAAACATTTTTGAGTGCACATTCTGTGCAGGACACTGGAAATCCCTCTATGTCTCTGGCTCACCCTTTTTCTGACTTCTCTAGTCCTCGAAGGGGCAAGATCTTCTTTCTCCTGCTATCATCTTGCTCTGTCAAATAACCTTCAAAACAACCTTTCTACCCCAGATACCTTTTTCAGTCTTCTCTTTATTGCTGTGCTCATGGTGCTGCAACCTGGAGAACTCCTGGTGCAAAGTAAGCAAACTTCCTAATCCACATCCTATTTTGAACCTCTTTTCCTAGATATATGGACACATGACCTCCTTCTCGATGGACTACTCCATTTCTTTGCTCCTTTCTCTCTTGGATTCTTCACTTTCCCCTATTCTCTCTGATCCAACTGGAAGGGAGAAGGAAAAAGGAGGAAAGAGTTGGGCAAGGAGCCAGTAGTATGTACCAAAATAAGTACTATGTGCCAGGGTCAGAAAGGTACATTATATAGAGGCATGGAGCTTGTTCTTTTTTGTATCCAGGTGAACCTACAGGATCAACTCATTATCCACTTCAGCTGCACACAGTTTGAAGTGCACCCCAAATCCTGACTGCTATGCACAGGGAGTAAGTCTAAATCATCTCTCCATCATGATGTCTAGTATAGTGCCTTCCCCACAGTCTGAGCTAAAAAATGTTCTCAGAAATTAATTGGTAATTTCAAAAGCCATGTTATTGATACTGGGATCCCAGACTCTGCCTCATTTATTCCTTACTCACATATAAGGACCCTCAACTCCTCCATCTGGATTCTCATACCATACAATTTATTTTCTATCAATCTCTTGCTGAAGAGAAACAGCTGACCTCATCAACCCTATTTCTAGCTGCCTATTGGATATCTCTGCTCAGATGGCCCTTAAGCATCTTCATCTAAACATGTTCCAAGTGAAACTCATGATTTTTTCACCAATACCTGTATATCCTCCAGGTTTCCTTTGGTGAATGGTATTACTATTCACCCAAGACTATAAAGCTGTCAATACTGCAGTCATTCCAAACTTATTTCTCTCTTTGATACCTGATCTTGCAGATTTAACTTCAGAGATGTCTCTTACAGTGACTTCTCCTCCCTTTTCTCACTGACTTAATATAATGCAACAGCTTCCTAATTCAAACTCTCACCAGCTCTCTCACTAACAGTCTACCTTTCATTCCACACAGCCAGAAGTACCTTTTCCCCCAAAACAAATCTGAATGCATCATTCACTTGCTCAAAAACTTCCACTGGGGTTCTCTGGTCTAGAGGTCAAGTTCAACTTGTTAGCATATTGGACCCTTCATAATCTGGCTTCATTAAAGTAGGTGCTTAATAAATCCATCAGACAGCCAAGAGACATTTTTCCAAAGCACCATTTTAAAATTACTATGCTGTTTGTAAGTTTGCAGCAACTACTAATGCTACTTGCCTTGTATTTGAACTTCTCGCTGGGTTCTTCCAGGCCCTCTGAATGCTCCCTACCTACAATTTGCCTCAGCTTTCAGTGCGCCCTATGTGGCCTTTGTAGTTGTTGCTCACCCCCACTCACCCACACCCACATTTCTTGTTTGCTCCTGTCTGAGTCTTCTCTTAGGCTGCACCCTCTCCCTGGACTGATTTCCTGACTTGTTGCCCAGCCACACCCTTCTCTTTCAAAACACACTAAAAACTCACCTCTTCCCCGAAGCCTTCCCGGACTAAGCCCTCCTGGCTCTCCTTTTATTGTTCTCTGTAGACTCCCCTGAGCACTTAGGTATGTAACTCCTCAGGAGGATACTAAGTATACTAATTCACACTTAAGGCATTTTCATGTTTTATCTCACCCATTAGAATTCCCTGTGGATAGACTTTATGCCTTTTATTCTTTTAGAAGTTAAAAATCTCTCCTGTTCCCCAGTGCCTAGTGGTATCTAGTCCCTAGGCTCCATCTAGCGTATGAAGTGGGAGATCTGCAAGTATGCTTGATTGTCTAAATGCTTTTAAAGAAACTGGACCTCCCACGTGCAGTTCCAAAAGAGCCAAACAGAGTTTTGATAAAGCAAATGAATTGATAAGCATTCATTTTCCTTCTGCCTCTCATCTCCATGGGAGCTCTGGTGGTGCAGTGGTTAAGGCATTCAGTTGCTAACCAAAAGGCAGGTGGTTCATTAGCCGCTCTGCAGGAGAAAGATGAGACAGTCTGCTTCTGTAAAGAGTTACAGCCTTGGAACTCATATGGAGCAGTTCTACTCTGTCCTATAGGGTTGCTATGAGTTAGAATTGACTCGAAGGCATTGGGTTGGTTGGTTCTCATTTCCGTCAACAGAGGACATATCTTTCCAGATACAAAGTCTCCACAAGACCTGGTATCTTTGGGAGATTTCTCCATCCCTCTTGAGGCTCTGGGTTTATCAATTTCATTAAGGATATTCAGGAAACCTTGACCTGAGTAGTTTATACTCAGACTATATCTGAGTTTATACTCACTCTGTCTAAGCTTTTCAGTTACACCCAGTTGGTAAGTCACCCAGGGCAGAAATACCTCATCCACTAATCTTGATATTGAGCATTGTGAACACAGAGGGACTTTATCTGGGGCTATGCTACATTCAAAACTGGATGCAATTTCCAGGGTTGGGGGAGTTAAAAAAAAAGGGAAGTACCACTTACTCAAGGTTGTCCTGGTCACCAGTTTGAAGTGATGGAGCTCCTCAAACATTCTCTTGGAGATCTTCTCAATATGGAAGCGTTGGAGGATGCCTGGAGCAAGTAAAAAGTGGGGCAGGTGGTCAGGCACTCTCTATCTGGAACCACCAACTCCTTTTTCTGCTCGGGCTGAGCATATCATCTCATTACTGGGGCTTAGGAGTATTGAGCTGGGCTGTGTAATGTGCTTAACCAGGAACTTGGATGGCTCAATGGTTATAATTGACTCCATTTGTTTCCTTGGCTCAATGGTCTCCCCTTGGCTTTTCCAGAGGATGGAGATAAGGGAGAGAGTGCTGTTGACCATAGGACCCCCCTCCTAGGGAAAGCCACATGGAATCAAGCGTCAGTGCTGGCTGGAGCTTCTGCAGCCAAAAGCAGTATTAGAAATTTTGCCCTTGCCCCAAGTCTGGGTAGACTATGTCCCTGCCAAACCACTGGGCTGCCCTCCTGGTTAAGCAATAAGAGCCAGCAGAAGGATTTTAGGCAGGTTGTTTGTGTAAATGGAGAAGCTGCCCCTGTTCCTAAACTCACTGAAAAGCATATTTTCCTTTGGAAAATAATAACAGCTCTTTTACCCTCGTAAAAAAAAAAAAAAAAAAATGAGGAGCGTTAAAATAAAGTGGCTCCCAAAGCCTCAACCTTGCCTGAGTAGCTTTTATCAGAGTAACAGGTAAACAACTGAAAACTACCTTGCAGTTAAAGAGCAACATGTTACCAGCCCACTTAAATAACTCTCCAAAAGCCTATATGGATGGGGTAAAGTAAATGAAAGCCTGGGTTTTTCTCTGCCCGGCAAACACAGTCCTTGATTATGCAACACTGTGAATAAGAGGCTATTTAGATGCTGCTCTAGAAAGTTGAAAAACATCTACACACCTCTGTGGGGTGAGAGATGTGAGGAGATGAATAATGAGCCCCACTGCTACAGAAGCCAACATGACAGTCCTTTTCCTAGGTGACCAGCTATGGATGAGCTAAGGAGGTAGATATGGAAAATCAACATTCCTAGGTATAGAGCAAAAATAAGCATCGATGAGAAACTTACATGCATATTCTAGCAATTTTGGAGGGGTGGGGAGGAACACATTCTTTAGAGAAAGAAAGGTGGTTGTAAAAAGGGGGAGAAAAATCCCACAAATATTATTAGCAGTGTTTCTCAAAGGATGGTTCAAGTGCCACCTGTGTTAAAAGTACAAATATTTTTACCTTACCCAAAGTGTATTGAATTCAAAACTCTTGAATGGGCCCACGAGCCTGCATTTTCAACCAATTCCTTGCGTGATTCTGATGCAAACTGAAGTTGAAGCACTCTAGAGCTTTATGTGGGAGCCAGTAGAAAAGGAATGTGTATTATTTTCCAGTTGAAATCTCACCTCTTGGATTCCTAGAAAACTTTACCAGACTAGCTAAACACTAGTCTTGTATCTATGGGATGGTTCGAATAGCTGCAAGGTCACAGTGAATGGAATGCAGCTTGCTATGGTTGTCAATGTGAGTAATTAGGAAAGAAATTTGACATCATGATT